GATCTTCAAATTCCTTTCAATCTACCCATTTCTTTGTGGTGTGATAACAAGGCCTCTCTCCATATCACTGCGAATCCAGTCTTCCACGAGCGTACAAAGCATTTGGAGATTGATTGTCATCTTGTTCGAAATCTATATAAGTCAGGATTTGTTCTTCCTCAATACATCCCATCACATTCTCAGCTTGCAGACATTTTTACTAAGCCTCTTCCTGCTCCTCAGTTTTCCCGTCTTCTCTCCAAGTTGGGGTTGGGCGACCTCCACCAACCTCCACCTTGAGGGGGGGATGAAGAGAATACAGGCTGAAGCTGATGGGCTGAGATATGGAGTCGGATTGTTTGTTGCAGTTGGGCTGACTTAAAGGCTACGTTCCAGCCCAGTATAATGAAGCCCAGTTAACACTTATTCTCTTTAGACCATTTAATGAATAAGAGAAAGCGTGTGTTGCTTTCACGTTTTTAGTTAGCACACGTTTTATAGGTTTAGTCTGTTAATTTTGTTAAGTCCGTTCCTTGATTCGTTGTACTGCGATTCCTCCATCTATAAATGATGGAGATCATTTCCATTCTAATTGAGAAGAATAATTTGATTCTAATGCTCCATTTTTAATCTGTTCAATAATGTAGGAAGTGCTTTAGCCTTTATCTTTTGCTAGTGGAAATCAAAGCTGTCTGTCTGATTTGGTTGATTTTAGAATTTGAATATGAATATTTTGTGATTGTCCATAATGAAACCCTCCCAATGCTGTACAAGAGAAGTGACTTCCTTTTTCTCTGTTTGATGACCTAATATCCACAATAAAAGCTTTTTACTTTGGAGAAATTCTCTCATAAAATGCTGTTTCCTGTTTAAGAAAGTCAAGATCAGATGCACGGAAATGAAGAGCTCTGGAAAATGGGTACCATTCTTTATCTGGACACCATATTAGTTCCTATCAGTCTCTTCATTACAATAGGCTAACATGCATATCTTTGGCATAACTTGAAGCACAAACCATCCCCAACATTCATTGGTACGAACTCATTAAAAGAAGGCCATGGTTGAAAGAACTAAATCAAGAAAGTTCTATTCCTTTGCTTATCATTCTTATGATTCATTCAAGACATGTCTGTACAGTATAACAAACAAAATTTTAGCTATTTTTTCCCTTTTTCTCGTGCATGGAGATGGCTTGAGAAACACATTAATGGCCACTATTCTTACAGTTTCAATCACAATCATCATCACAATCTCCTTAGAGCTCTCACAAACAACGCTTTGAAACAATCTGTTAAGCAGTAATATTTTCGGGTCCAAATCGGGGAGGATTCTTGTGCTGAAGTTTGGTCCATCTTCAATCTTTC